AGTATGTATTAAGTAAAGATTTAATCAGTTTGCACCCACACAGAACATAAAGTGAAAATACTGTTTCAGTACTAGTTATAGCATTACTTCACATTGGACAACACATTAAGGACAGAGATCCCACATGAGGAGTAAGTACACAGTGACTCCTGTTGTTGACTTAACAAGTTGACACTCTTGTTTATGGCGTCAGAAATCTCCCTAGGCTCTAGTCATGAGTTTCCAAAGCTATGGAAGCCTCTTGAGTTTGCTGACTTTGATCTTTTTTCGACAAGGTCATAGTCAAAGTGGAAGTTCTCTCCTCCCTTCAGAGAAGGGTACATCCTTCTTTGATGGCCCCGTTCTTTCTACTGGGATCTCACTTGCAGAGATCTTTCATTTAGGTTTTTTTTTTTTTTTTTGCCAGAGTGTCTTGGCTTTCCATACCTAAAATACTCTCATGGGCTCTTCAGCCAGATCGGAATGCCTTTAGGGATTCTGAGGCCAGAGTGCTCATACAGTCATTTTTAACACATTTACTCAGTTGGATCTTCTAGTTGGGTAATTTAGCTCATTTACATTCAAGGTTATTACAGATAAGTAATGACTTTTTCCTGTTATTTTCTTTTAACATTTCTTTTTTTTAAACTCTCATTTTTTTTTTTTTTTTGTCTCTTCGGTTTTACACTTTCACTATTTTCTTGATGAAGTTTATCTGTTTCTGACATAGGGCATCCTTAAATGTTACCTGTATGGCTGAGTCAGTGGTGATGAATCCCTCCAATTGTTCCCTGTGTTGAAAAGTTTTTATTTCTCTTTCATTTATGAAAGATAACTTCTCTATGTTCGTAGCTGTTTTCCTTTTGAAACTTGACTTATATCTTTCCTTTCCTTCCTATAAGGCTCCTGTTGAAAAATCTGCTGTCAATCCAATGAGATTCCTTTGAAGTGGCCTAGTGCTTGTCTCTTACTAATTTTAGAATTTTCTCTTTGTTTTGTACTTTTTAAAGTTTTCCTGTAATATGAGATTCTTTTCTGATGTCTAATTGTCTATTTGGGGTCCCATAGGTTTCCTTTATTTGAATATCTGTATCTTTCTCAAATTTGGGGTACTTTTCAGCTACTATTTCATATAGATTTTCTAAACCACTTCTGTGATCCATTCCTTAGGGAATGTACACAGCTAAAATATTGGTTCAGTTGATGGTATCCCAGAAATTGTGAATGAACACTGTTTTCATGATTCTTAATGCTTCCTTTATTTTTTTTTTTTTGGTCCAAATGAGATATTTCAAAAGACCTGTTGTCAAATTCAAATATTCTTTCTTCTGCTTAATCTAGTCTGCTATTATGGCCTTAAACTGTATTTTTAAAAATTTATTTTCATCAGGATTGGTGCCGTGGTATAGTAGGTTGAACCTCCAGCTGTTGCACTGGTATCCAACATGGGGTACCAGTTCGAGTCCCAGCTGCTCCACTTCCAATCTAGCTCCCTGCTGATGGCCTGTGGAGGCGGTGGAGGATAGCTCTAGTACTTGGGTTCCCGAACCTGTGTTGAAGACCTAGAGGAGAATCCTAGCTCCTGGGGTGGGATTGGCCCAGATTTGGCTGTTGTGGCCATTTGGGGAATGATCCAATGGATGGAAGACCTCTCTCTGTCGCTCACTCTCTCTGTCTGTAACTCTGCCTCTCAAATAAATAAATAAATATTTTTAAAAAGGAAAGAAACACTAGAATAGTCAAGATTAAGGTCATGAATGATCCTGAATTGAACCAAATTTTATTTCATCTATGTGAAAAGCAGGGTAACACACACACACACACACACACACAGGAGAGAGAGAGAGAGAGAGAGAGAGAGAGAGAAAGGGGCCTTCTCTATGCTAGTACACTCTCCAAATGTTCACAATAGCCAGAGCTGGGCCAAGCTATCAGATTCCATCCAGGTTCCCACAAGCACTTGAACCATCTACTGCTGTCTCTTAGGCTGCATCAGTAGGAAGCTGAATCAAGAATAGAGGAGCCAGGGATGTAGGTGTCATAAGCAGAAGTTTAACTCAATGTACCACAATACCCAATGCTCAGATGTAATTCTTATATAATTTACTGAGTTCTTTATTTTTAACATTATAACATTTTTAATATTTGTCAGGTACTTTTTCATTATCTCTATTTATTTGCTAAATTTCTTATTCATATCATGCTTTGATTTCCTAATTTTGTTTAACTAACAGTATTGTCTTATATAACTTTGGGTAACCTTTTATTCATATTGTTGAATTCTTTATCAGGCATTTCATCAATGTCATTTACTACATAGTCTAATAGTCACGAATTATTGTGTTCCTTTTGGGGTATCATATTGCCTTGCTTGTTTTCATGATTCTTATGTTTCTTCATTGATTTTTGTGCATCTGAGGGATCTGCTGTTAACTTCACTTTTAAAAAGGGGTTTTCATGGATTGAAGGCTTTTTCCTAAAGATAGATTTTTGCATGTTGGTTTGGTAGGCTACATTGTCTTTAGTTCCAGTTGGATGTTGTAATGCAGTCTCCTTACACCTTCTTACATGGTAGTAGCAGTGGTGGGGGATCTGGGACATTCCTGGGAACTAGACAGTTGCTTATATCCCTGTCACAGAAATCTCCATCTATTTTCCAAAAGAGGGGTGACAGTCAGGATCTTTGCTTGTGTGCTAGGGATAGGTACCATTGGTGCTGCAAGTAAGCCTGGCACACAGACTCTCAGCCATCACCTAAGGAAAGGCTGGGCTGGCAGCATCAAAAGCAGTCTGGGCTCTGGGATCTCCAGCTACTGCCCATATCCAGAGTCCCAAAAGCAACACCAATGCCATGCAGGGAATGTTACCCCCACCCAGTTGCTGTCTGAGGAAGTGGCTAAATTATTAACTGTGGAAATACATCATGATGTGACCTTGTATAAGAGATATCCTTTTGGAATATTATTGTTTATCAACATTCTCGTCTTGATAAAAGAACTAAGTGATACTGTATTTCATATGGTAGGAGGACTAAAGTTCTATATTAAATTGAAATTGGCATGAAACTTGCTTGCTACTCAATCAAGTTATTATGGAACTTGACCAACTGAGTTCTTGTGTCTCAGAGAAATTCAAACTACTTCTGTTGTGTGATACCACCATTCAAAAGATAGTGTCCAGATATGATAGATTTTAAATCCTTCTATACAGAAGTGACATACATAACTTTGCAGTGGGTCTCTGGCTAGTATTAGTCCTCTAATCTCAATTAGCTACACAGAGATCTAAAAATTGCAGAAGATTTTATAGGTTGCTCTGACTTCCATAACAAAATATTTTAGATTAATTTATAAACAACCAAAATTTATTATTCACAATTGTGGAGTTGAAGAACCTTAAAAATCAAACCAAGATGGAGTGACTTAAGCTAACACTATTAAAAACAAGAAGTCACCTTTGCCCCAAATAAAATTAAAGTTTAAAAATTATAGCCCTAAACTTTTCCTCCCAAAACTAAAATTAGGTGCAGCTATAAAAATAAGGGACCCTATGCTTAGCTAGCTGCGACACTTGTGCCTGGCTGTGCTAAGACCTAACCCAGTTTGTATGCCTCCTAATACTCAAATAATGGTGTGGGAAGCAGGACGTTGCTCTCCCTCCAGGGGAACGAAGGGAGCGAGACGTCATCCCCCTCAAGGTGAACAAGATGGCGCTGGCAGGGAAAGGAACTGCTAAAGAAGTAAACAACAAAATGGCGACGAGGTGCATGCCTCCCATGTGATCCCATAGCTGATTGGATAGAAGACGCATGCCTTTCACATGATCAGCTCACGGATTGGACTGCTGTGTGCATGGACACTATAGTGCTTCTGATTGGTCGCTGCGGGTATATAAACCATGTGGCTTTGTGCTGGGGGCGCTCTCTGGACTCCTGAGTTCTGGAGGCCCGTCTGCGCAGACGCCGAATAAATCCTCTTGCTTTTTGCATCAGCTGGTCTGGACTCTGAGTCTTTGGGGTGTGCCTCTCGACGTGTTAGCATCCTCACTCAGAGGGTCTAACAGAGTTAGGATGTCTAGGATGAAGTTGTGAAGACAAATGCAATGTCTGGTGAGAGCTAATTCTGCTTCCTAGATAGTTCTTCCAGCTCTTTCCTTTCACGGTGGACAGTGGTAGAAGTAGCAAACAGACTTTTTTACAAGAGTACTAGTCCAGCTCCCAGTGGCAGAGTCCTCTTGATCTGATCACTTCCTAAAGCCCCCCCCCCCACCTTTTAATACCATCACCCCAGGGTTAGGTTTCACCAAACTTAACCAGGTCATAGCAGAGGGGTGCATGCATATTCAGTGAACAGTACACACCTCTGATACTGCATCTTGATTATGTTTGACCTTGGAAAGTTACTTACCTTCTTAGTTTCAATTGCTTATCTGCACTGTGAAATTAAAAATGGGGTCAAGTGGAGTTTTTAATTTGCTCTCAGAAAAGACTTCATTGGCTTCACTCTACATTATTCAACAAGCTTTCTTCAACTTCATGAACTTTCTTCAGTCTCGGTTCCTCTTGTTTTAATACATCTGATTGCAAGGACTAAATATGCTTTAATTGTTTTAGTATACTGCTTGGAATAAGGTCCAAGTGCTCAAAAATGATTAGATGTCTTCATTAATTTTAACATAATATTACTCATATATAGTTTTACTTATGGCAAAAAAATAATAGTAACATATAATACATGTGGCTTGTATTTCCCAGTCGTCTTTTTATTTTGCAGTTAAAGTGTCCTGCAACTAGTAATTAATTTTTCGATAAACGTTTGTTTCCTCTGCCTAGCAACATAGTAAGACTGTAGGTTTGAGACAAATTGCAGACAATAATTGTTGTTGTTTGAGCAGACTTCACCTTTGTTCTTACACTCAGTGTATCTGCACTCTATTACTCACTCTGGACTATGAAACGACTTTATTATTGAGCTTTTTTTCTGGACTGCCTGTAAAAGGAGAAGCTGCACGGCAGACTTTGCATTCAGGAAGTTATGTAACACTTCATGACGCGGGTTAATATCCAGCACCTGGATGTTTGAAAATATCTGTGCTTCCTGTGTTGCAAAAGTAGAGAAAAGCAGAAGCGATACATCATGGGAGTGAAGACTGTTTTGCTTCTGATTGTGGGGGTTCTTGGAGCATATTATGTTTATACTCCTCTCCCAGATAATATTGAGGAGCCTTGGAGGCTGCTGTGTGTGAATGCACAAATGAAAACACTAACAAATTTGGTAAGTTCAGGATTTTATCCACTTTGTGTATATTTAGCATTTAATAAGAAGAAATAACTACTTGCTTTATTATTTTTTCGGAAATAGAAATTTTACCATTTAAGTTTCCTTGCTGACTATAATACTTTTAAAGATAGATGTTAGATTATTGCTTAATTCAGATGTCTAACAGAATGAATATGGGGAAAATATTCAATTAGTTTGGATTTTAAATGTTAAAAAACAATATATGCTGGCTGAAAAAAAATAGAAAAACGTGAATGTGACTCTGATGGATGAGTGCTGCCAGAAAGAAGCGTGTCTGAAGCATGGACTTCAGGAAAGTGGGGTGAGTAGCTCTGTGATTAGAACCCAAATTCAGGCAATAACGTTAGACTCAGCACTGAAAACACATTCTTACTGACATGTGTTGTAACAAGGTCAACTGGTAAAAGTCCAGGGGAAAGTGGACCCCTGGTATTATCCAGTTGTAAGAGAGTGAGCTGTGCAGGTGACAGGGCAGCTGCTTGGGTGCTGCCATGCAGAGTCCACAGCTGGCTCTGTGGCTCATTTATAGTGAGACCAGCTACCTGGGAGTGAAATTCTGCACCATTCCATTAACCTTCTCTTTTAGGGGTTTCCTCCTTATCATAAAACAAGCAAAAAAAAAAAAAAATCAAGGACACCTAGCCTGGGTATTAGACATTTGGATCACCATCATATCCCTTGCATGTTTTTAAAAGATGTTTCAACACTATCTGATATGAAATATAACTCTGAAGAAGTATGATGTCTGCTTTATTTTCATTTTTAGTTAACTATTTCATATCTTTAATAATATGCCACAATACTGCCCCCCATATGCATTTTATGAACTTTTTGAGGACTCCTCTATTTGAGGATTTCAAAAATGTTTTGTATAAAAATAAGCTTACCTTTTAATTGCATTTTACACAAACTTTTCAAAGTACCCTGGTATATATATAAGTAATTTTATAAATATAAAAGTATATACATAATTTTTACATATATAATTTATATTTATATTTTGTTACTACTCATACATGGATATCTCCAGATATATGGTTAGATATATACAGAGATAGGTTGATGATAGATGATGGATAGTTAATGATAGATAGATGATATAAAATCTTCCTTTATATTCTGAGCTTTACTCTCTCTGGCCCTGTTGTATCTTGCAGTCCATTCCTGGCTGTTGTTAGTATGGGACACTGTCACTCTTTCCCGATGCTATCATCTACTTTAGAAGTTGTTTCAAACTGCCATCAATTACCTTTGTATGCTCACGTGTAATTTCTGAGGCCTTAGCTGCTAGTTCAGTGATCAAGCTTTGTTGTTTCATCCCTGCCTGTGGGAGTCTTTCTCATGGGGAGGCACTTTCATTACTTGAGCAAGTATTTCCTGTTTCTTTCTAGGATCTGCAATCCATAGGGTGTTCTTCACTCCCCTTTTGTCTTTCACACTGCTCTACACAACAAATTCCTAGGCAATTCTACTGGTTTCACTAGTTTGAGACAATACTACACGTAATCTGTAGTTCATGGCTTTTCTCTGATTCTTAGTTTCTTTGATGAAATAGAGTTAACCTTTGTGGTTATTGATGGGTTAATTATCTTCTCATTCCATGTGCTTTCTTGTATAACAAAAGTATATGTTTATAGGGAATTAAAACTCTCATTTCTTTTTGTAAAAAAAAGTGTAACTTATGCCAATGTACATTATATTATTACATAATCTTGCATTTTATCTAAACCTCCATAAGAGCCATCATCTTTTGATGGACTAGTCAACTTTTTTTCCAACAGTTCCTCCCTCATCCATCGTCCCAAAATAAATGCAACTATTTTCTTGAATTAGTTGCCATCTACTCCTACCTTGAGATTTATCAATCAATTTGTTGCATCAAGCTAAAGAACGGCCACTCAAACTTAATGTTCAGTGATGGAAATGAATGGAAGCGGTTGAGTGGAATCCACTGCCAGCTAGTCTGTGATGCAGGGTTATCTTCTGGAGTAGGAGTATTAAATGTGCTTAAGCACAAGGTCAGTTGTGATAGATTACTTGTGTCACTCTGAAAGGACTTAGGTCACACCTAGGCTTGATGAGAAACACCGCCTTCAACTCCATCAGGTCTATTGCCGAGTGAGGATTATCAGCATCTAAGAAAGGAATTTTCCACCCTAGTGCTGGATTGTAAGGTTTTCCTTGTTTACTTGAGACAGTGTCAGACTCTACCTTTGAGGTCATTTTTCAAAATTATTGGTTTTGTGGGGCAAGTTGTGGCTCAGCAGGTTAAACTGTACCTAGATATACATGTGAATATAGATTTGGGCATGGATTAATTATGATGTGAATTTAAATAAGATACATAAGTCATTATCAACATATACAGTGTATCATATATATGAATATATATATATATAGATTTTCAGAAGTTATATTTTATCTATCATCTACCTGTTGATTGATTAGTTGTGGTATTTTACAAGTTCATTGACTATAAACTAACTTAGTAACTTCAAGAAAAATCTAATAATTCTTTAAGTATGCCCACATGCTGATAACACTGATTTTGTGCCAAATTAGAGATAATAAACTAAATATGTAGAATAATAACTAGAGGAGACCTCTCAATTTATAAATTAGAAAATTATGGATAGCATATTGTGTCACTGCATTTTTTAAAAAGTAGTTAAATACTTTCTTTTTAGAGAGAGAGTGCACATCCATTAACCAGTTCACTCTTCAGATGGCTGCAATAGCTAGGGCTGGGCCAAGTCGAAGCCAGGAACCAGGAACCAGGAACCAGGAGCTTCAGCTGAGTATCCTACATGACTACAGGGGCTCAAGCACTTAGGCCATTCTCTGCTGCTTTCCCAGGCACATTAGCAAGGAGCTTGATCAGAAGTGGAGCAGCCAGGACTGGAACCAACAAGGGGATGGCAGCATTGCAGCATAACCAGCTGTGCCACAACACTGGCCCCTAAAATGCTTTCTTTAATCATTATATATAAAAATTTAGATAGATAGACAGATAGTGCTTTTTGTTGATGTTGATAAGTGTTATAATTTGAAATGACCTGGCTCTGAACTCATTGAAAAATTCAATCCTAAAGTCGTAAATTAATGGTACTAAGAAGATGAAAACTGAATCCAGTTTTGATGTCTGAAGGCGAGGCCTTTGAGAATGGTTTGGTTTGATTAGGTTGTAAGGGGAGACACAGAAAAACGCACTCACTCGCTCTTGCCACGTGATGCTTTGCACTGCCATTAGACTGTGCCAACAAGAACACTACCACTAGATGCCTCCTGATCTTGGACTAAGAACTTCTAAAATCATTATCTAAAATAAGCCTTCTTCATCGTAGGTAGCTTGTTTTAGGCATTTAATTCAAACAAATTAGTATGTTTTAACTAGCTGTATTAGTCAGATTTTGTCACCATATAATTTAAAAAGAAAGAGTAGAAAATTGTCTTCTGAAAATAGTTTGTGGCTGTATGTAGGTGAACTCAGCTTCCCAGGATAATTTCGTTCATAAGTATGAGACGATTAGTTATCTTCCAGTTTATAGTTTTTTGTAAACACCTGTGAAATTCATTTTCTTCATTCAGGATTTCCATCTAATTGCTCTGGGCTTTCTCACTGAATCAAACTCTTACAACATTTTAAGAATTGAAAGATGAAGATCAAATAGAGGATCCATCAGCAACTTTCTCCACTGTTGCAGTCAGAATTGACTCCATGCCTCTTCCTGTCTGAGCGCCTTGTTGAAAGTCTCTCCTCGTTATGTCCAGTACTGGACCTGTTAATGAGTACAGTAGTACCTGCTCATACAGTCTATGAAGAATGGAAACTAGGTCACAGGAATCGTGAATGAATGATCCCTCTAGCACTATTCTTTGATCACAGTGGACAGTCAGGCCATATTGTTAAGTCATAGCTTGTTGGTCTGATTTTAAAGACCAGTTGTCTGCCAAAAGAAACTTGAACTTCAGGGACTCCTCTGAAAAATGGCTTGAATGAGTCTAAACAGAGTTAACTGCCACATACTCCTAAGTTCTCAAAGGGAACCCCTATGCTCTTAAATGGGGAAATCATCAATGAATTTGCCACAACAATGAACACTCAAGAATAGAAAGAAGTAACTTCAGTGTATCTTTTCCTATACAACTTAGGAATGCTGCAGGAAGTACCAGTATAGTTCATGTGAAAGAAAATGAGAAGTCAGGGAGGAATATAAAATAATTAGAAAACTTTCAAATGGAAAAGAAAACCAAAAAGTAAAATGGTAAGATTTACAATAGCAAAGTATACAGATGGGCTATTTTATTGACTATGTTTTCTGATTCTAATTTATTTAGGTGATTCTGTGGCACTTGGAGAGTTACGTAGACAGAAGCTTATGAATGAATGAAGCAATTAGTGATTTAGTTACTGTAATTGGAGTAAAAGTGGGCACATGAAAACACAGAAAAATCTCACATTCTAGGCTATGTCTAATCACAAAAGAAACACTGAATTAAGTGATTTAAACACTGATTAAACACTGATTTAAATATATATTTATATATTCACTTATATTTATAGACTTAAATATATATATTTATATATAAATTATGCCATATATAAATTATACAATTATTCCTCAGTATCTGTGGGGAGTTTGTTCCATTACCTGCTGTCATTCCAAAATTTATAAATACTCGCATCTCTTCTTCCATCCAAGTACTAACCAGGCCTATCCCTGACACCCCTCCTTAAAAACAATTGGTCATTTGTATATTACCTACCACGGTCTCCTATATATTTAAAATTATATCTGGATTACTGATAAAAGCTAATATAATGTAAATGCCATGGAAATATTTGTTATGCAGTATATTTCAAGAAATAATGAGAAGAAAAAGAAGTCTATATATTCAGTACAGAAATACTTTAAAAAAATTTTAGTGCACTATTGATTGAATCCATGTATATGAAACTACAGATATGGAAG